GACGGCATGTTCGTGTATAAATGTCGCCGTTTTCTCCACTCGAAGCTTAGCTGATCTTCGTCTCCGTGATGGAAGTAGATGCGGGTTTGTCATCGGTATTCACTTGCTCGACATTGGCCTCCTGTACCTCGACTGCGCCCTCCAATGTATCTCCAACGTTCGTCTTCATTTTCTCTACAACCGTCATAGACTCGGCAACTGCTTCCATTTGCGCAGTAAGCGTCACAGCTTCAGCCTCTATAGCAACGTCAGACGCATCGGCAAAGACAGCCGTCTTGCCAATTATAGCGGCTTCGACAAGCTCAATTGAGTCAGTAATCGTCTCGGTCTCTACCTTATGTATAAGATTTTGAAGGAAGGGTGTGAATCTAAGGAAAAGGAGTGTACATTAAGCAATTCCCAAAAAAATTGATGCGTTAAATCATAACAGTTCAATTTGGTACTTAAAAATATATAAGCTTATACATATATTTGTTTAATAAACTGTTTTTGCTGTTCGTAAAGAAAACAAAAAACTTTTTATGTCGATCGAGATTGGTCAATTTATACTTTAATTTATCTTCTTTTCGCTCTTAAGATAAACTATAGATATAGCAAGCCACTCCGAAATCAAGTTAAACTCAACGATAATGACTTCATGGAAAGATATAATGGTTCGTTCCCAACTGTTCTTTTAATTTTATGGTTAACAAGCAAACAATGAAAATAAGAGATTATAAAATACTACCCCATTTAATCACGGAATAAAAATGCCCAAAGTAAGTGATATAGATTAAAAAGCCCCATGTTGTAGTATACTTAAATAAACGTGGCAGCACAGTGGTCATTCACCGTATGCGTCACCTTTGCCGCTCATGCAGAAACGTCCCGAATCTGTTGTTGACCGGACAAAGGTAACAGCTGGAAGAAATCGATGCTCCCAGCCCGAATACGTGAGTTAGTATATGCTGGCCCCAAAAATGACGTACAAACCTTGTATTTAAGTAACACAATACCCAAATTCTACTTCAGCTGCACCCTGGGCTGACCACGCTAATTTTGAGAGGTGCCTCATATGTCTGAAAGCATGATGCAGCCAAACTTCAATTTACTCAAGCGCGTCACATCGATACAAGTTATGGTTCTGGTTATGATGGTTATCAACGCAATATGAATGAGCAAGATGTAAGCTACTCTAACCCTTCTCAGCAGGTGCTGGCAATTTAGAGAAGAAGTTGCCTACATCCCATCGTAATATTTATTCATGTCATTTGTTTTAAACGCATCTTGCAGTAGCAGCACCACACTCGCCCGTTTCTAGCTATATACACACGCGCACGTACGCTGTCCGTCACTGAGCACCAGCATGCACGTGTTGCGGGCTTTCGTGCACGCGACCCCAATCACTGCAACGACTGCATCGCTTCCCCCTCTCTCCGCGACACGCGACTGCATCGTCATACGCGACTGTTCTGGCTGCTGCGTCTACGACTCAAGGTCCGACTGCGACTACGAGTACGACTGCGAATGCGACTCATAATTCGCCGGAGTCGGAACGGACTTGGCGATCGTCGTCGTCGCCCAAAAGCGGAACGCCGACTGGGCCACGACGACGTACTAATGCTGGTGAGCGCGGAAATGCGATCCCACAAGTAGAATAACATTAATAGGAACCGCAGCACCTATGACAACAACAGAAGAAGCAGCAACAACAGAAACATCATCAACAGACCAACAACAACTTAGCAACAACAACAGAGAAAAAAATCAACAGCAACCGTAGCATCTTAAACAACAACAGCAGCAGCAGAAACAGCAGTAGCAGTAGCAGCATCAAAAATAGATACTGAACAACAACAGCAACCGCAGCACCTTCAACAACAGCAATAGCAGCAGCAACATCAACAATGGCAACTGAAAAAACAATATCAACAGCATCGACATTAAATCAACACCATCAAAACCTACTGACTGTGTTTACGGCTGCGACCGATGATACGGAGACGCGTTTACGTCTTCATTTCTCGTGTCTGCGCCTGCAGATGGTGGATGCAAGTGCAGCACGCCGGCTGTAGACCCCCCCAGCGGCTTCCCGAACAGGGTTAGGGTTGGTCACGGCCGTACATTGGAAAACGAAAAGGATCAAAGACGCTGAATAATATGTCTGTCACATTAACTTGAGTTTATAAAGACGTGTGACATATTTTTCCAATTATCTAGGGCATTTTTTTTATTTTCCCTATAGTCAATCAATACAATCATAAAGCTACTAGTATTTATTATAAGAAGGTATTCCAAAAAGCATTAGAATAGTAGAGCTAGCAACAAACAGTATCCTTCGCATCCCAAACTACCCGCTTGGGCGCTCCCTAGTTGAATAATAAAGCAGAGAACTCCTCAAAGCAAAGTACACTTTATAGTACATGGACAATTATGCCTACATAAGTAGAGGAAAACAAGTCGGACAAAATGGTTTATTCCAGAAACACAGACCTTTATAAGCATAATGTTTTTAATTAATTTATATTGGATCTTACATCTACACCTTCGCCGTGATTTTTTCAATTATAGTAATTTGGCTTATTTTTTGAAATTAACACAAATTTTAAACATCTCCAAAGTATATGCATGAGGGACGTTTATCAAACGCTTCACGATCAAGACGCTTAAGCTTAATTTTAATTTTTATCTTCATTGTAATGACATTTCGTACTTATTGATATAACTCAAGGAGAAAAATCAATTGTGTGGATTTGATCGATCGAAGAACAGCCTTTAGTGTCCGAAGCTTTTTTAGAATTAGAAATAAAAGTTGTTTTAATGCCGTGCCTTCACAAGGTAAATAAATTTTATTACCAATTTTATTGAATACAAGTGCGGACTGACGTAGCACTTTGTAAATAACGTATCACATTATATATCTGTAACATTGTACAGATAGAATAATGTCATGTTCGAAGTGGATGTATAGGACCGAGCTACTACGCCTTTTTGAACTATGCTTTACACTATTGACAACATTATTGCTGCTATCCCAGTTTTTATACAGCGAGTATATGTCAATACCGAAGCCAATTCCATCATTAGTAGCTCATAATGTTTAGCCCCTATATTTAATATACGAATCGCGTGTTTGTCTTGAGGATAAAAACTATTTGAATCCGCAAGCAAATGCCTCGATACCACTAATGGTATATTACAGCTCATCAAGATGTCCTTTCTATACTTCTTTTATATTATTGTTCTTAAGCTGCTTCGGGTCGTACAAAACGATCACAGCAATGTGTTCGTGTTAATGGATCACGGTCCCGTCTCTTCTGATCGAAATTGTGCATTCGAATGATCGAAATGCTGCTTTAAACAATGGAAAAGTGATGGATATTACTAAATACTATGTAAGTATTCCTCGTTGCATTGGACGATGAATTATAGTAAGAAGCAATGCTGAACCAGCCACACAAACTTTTTTTCCTGCTACGCGTTAGTAATAATTTCGATGTGTATGATAGTAACTGACAAATTATAGAGGTAATCAATTCGATACTTGTGAATGGACAAGAATGATGGCAAGCATGTGCATAATCTGTCGTATTGAACTCATTTAGTATGCATTCTATGGTAAAAACTTGTTTCACTGCACCTTTTAGTATTCTCATCGTTAGTGCAGCACTTTTACTATTCGTATCTTGATCGACTACAATTTTCTGAAGTACACTTTTTAGTGGGCTTGTTATGTATTTAGCTCATTGGTCAATTTCCCCTATTAATACTATCACTCAATAAGTCTCACCTCTATTAGTTGAACGACACGTACATACACGATGAGTTTTTTTATGTGAATACAGCCTAAATAATAAACTTTACATATTTTACCCCGATCCATTTGCCAAAAATTGTAAAATATATATTTATATTATTAAGGTTGTGAATTTGTTTATTCGCTTCTTAATATAAAATCACGATGGTCTCTATTAAAACGAGCTCAACTTCGATTTATGTGTAAGTAATTTACCGTTAAAAGAGTACATCACCAGCATGTCAAAGAACTTTATGTCAACTGCATCGCGCTTGAGTTTGATAGGAAGATTTTGAACAATACTGGTTTACGTGCAAATACCATAATGAACAAGTTGTTCCTCCTGGACACCGAGGCACTCGCACATGATCTCCCCACGTTAGCTTTAGTCAATTGACCAGCTGCTGACTCTGACTATACACGTCTGCATGTGCTGGTAGTTATTACATAAACCGATTGCCTTTGATGGGCGAAAGAGGCAGTAGAACGAGTGGCTGTTACAGTGGACGAAGAAAGTAGCAGTGTAGCAGACGGGCTATTGAAAGCGTATTCCTGCATTATTATTGATGTGAGTGATTAAGATGTTCGGTCTTTGTCACTAGTCTTGGCTTCGACCCAGGGTAGGCCAGTCTCTGTCTTCTATGCTTCGGACAAACATGAACACCAACGTTGGATCAGAGACGGGGCAACCCTAGACGGCAAAAAATATCAGTGCGGTTACTATGCATACCTGGTCGAACAGGTATGAAGAGTGATTGCACCGATAATTTTGCCGTAATCTGTCAACGCATTGTTTCCTGTACAAGTTTCGTTGTTAAGATTTTGTGCCTGATGGATATCTTTCGCATCACCGTGTACAACAAAGAAAAAGCTTTGCCTCAACCGTCAGTTACCACTTCCGTCACAAAATTGTGACAAGAAATCTCAATTGATATGGATCATGAGGTGGCTGCCCTTGACCATAAATTGCTTCATGCAGGCTGATTTATCCTCGTCTGAAGATCAGTAGTGTCGAAACCCTAAATGAGAGTATAGTTTATGTTTTGCACATGAAAAGGGTAAAATTAAACGATTTGTCGAACTGCCTCTCAGCGATTAATGGGTTGTACTTCACAGATAATTGCGAGGTGCCCAAAGGTCAAGACAGCCATTGGCGCGAGGGCGCAAACACTCGTCATTATCGATTTTGCGGACTCCAACCAACACTGGGCACACACCCACCACCATGCGCGTAACCAGCTTTGCTGTCTTCTTCGTTGGCTTCCTCCACGGCGTAAACTGCGAATCGTTTCCAGCGGCAGCTCTGAGCCACGCGAAAGTCTCGTCGCTTCGTGCGGTGGTGGGCGCTGACGAGTCGCGTACTCCCATCAACGACTCATCCGGAACCCGCCGTTTGGCACCAGTGCTGATTGATGGCCTAGCTAGCAATGTTGAACGCTTCGTCGCGCAAGCAAAGCAACTAGAAGGAAACGATGCTAAAGTGGTCGCCCAACTGAAGCAGCAACTAGGCGACCGTGGTGAAGGTGATGACCGCCTCCTGCACTTTGAACAACTCTTCGAAGCAAGCGCCAACCCCGACCATTACCGTGAGGCGCTAGGGCTTCCCCGGCAGTTGCTCAAGGAAAACTTCTTGAAGATGGGTGTAGCCGAGCGTCTTGTGTATTATCTCAAGAAATCGACAAACGCAAGCTTTAGAAAAGAATGGGAAAGTCTACGTGTGTTTGAGGTGCTCCACGAGAAGTATGTTGCTGCACAGAAAGACATGCTCAAGGAGACAGAATCTTTGGCTGATCAGCCTCTTCCATCGATCAATTGAGCACTTTGCTGACTTGCCCTTTAGATAGGTAACCCACGACGTCATTGCAAACACATGAGCTCAACTATCTTGTACACATGTCTTTCTACTCTTTCATTCTAACTCATCGCCTCAATTGCCTCCAAGTACAGCTACCGCTCGTGAAACTCGCGCTCGCTATTGACCCCGTCGACCATGTCCTTGAAGAATAGTGGACAGGTAAGGCAGCACCGTTGGCTTCGACAGCTATTGCTTTTCTTCAGCGATCTGGTGGCCGCGAGTAGCTGTTGACTCATATTTTCTCCTATATATGGCTTCTTCGAACCTTCTCAACCTGTCGCAGTCGCGCCTAAGCCAACCCAGGCCTTGTTTTCTCATCGCAGGCACCCGCTCTGGCGCCGCAGCGGCTAGCGGCCATCTGGTGTGCCTCTCGCGCGGCCATAGGTCGAGCGCGTGGCAGATCAGTTAAACGTACTTCAACTGGCGGCCCTCGTGCCGCGTTGCCACGTGTCTTGGGTCCACTGATCGGACGAGCCTGTTCGACCAGCCGCGCGAGCTGTACACAGGAGGGCTGCGATTACGGCACATACCGTCGATTAGAGACCGCGCACTTCAGATAAACACGTTGTTACGGCGCAGACAAAGGTACGCGCGTGATGCAACTCTGCAGCTGCACAGCCAGCTTAGAAAGCGACACCAAAGGTGATTTGCCCCGTACGTAGATTAGACTCGACCGAACACTGACGTTCTCGTCCAGGCCCTAGGCAACACTAGTCATCTTGCAATTACGCACGGCTGAATATGCACGTCTGTCCCTGCCTTGCTTGCCAGGGTCCCCGCCTGCTCCCTCTGTTTGCTTTAACGTCTTGCGAGGTCGATAGTTAGAGGTGTCGTCGTTCCGAAGTTGCTGCACGTACTATGCGGTAACGGTCAACATTAGGAATTATCTGCAAGTGCTGTCGCCTAGCGGTGCATCGAGAATGTTTGTGGAACGCCTGCATCTTCCAACTTATACTCCCGCGCTTCCACGGAAAAAGCAGTCAAGCAAGAAGACAGAGATGGTCTGAGTACCTCTACAGCAGAGATAGTCCGATTGTGAAGCTAGCTCTCGCTGTGGAGTTGGCGATCGCGCACTTCGAGTCCGAACACAAGAACTGCGTTCACGCGCATGACATGAAGATGAACCGATTGTTTTCTTGTTCACTTTAGTACGGTACAGGAACCGAACACAAAGACTGGTGATTGGGTAGAGGTGGTAATTAGAGTCTTGGCGTGAGTGAAGTGTCCACATTGTGAAGTACTTGGCGCAAAAAGTGCGCTTACCGATTGATGAAGTAATTCTGGACCCAAATTCATAAAATGTCGTCGATAAGGCAGAAAGGGCTTTGTGCTATAGCGCCAAAGAGCGCAGCGATGTCGCGCTGAAGTGTATCATCTCTGGAAGCGGATGGACGCAGGTCACTACATAGCAATATTGTTTTTACACGCGCACAGTGCTTTCTTTTTTGTTGCTACTCAGTCGTCCCAAAACTTGTTGCGGCTTCAATTTCGAATCCTTTGGCCATACGTGCGACTGCTATGTAAGCAGACGCACTCACTACATATTATTCGCAACCCGTGACGTCAGACGCCTGTCCCCCACAAGCGAAGAACGCTGGAAATGCCACAGCAGCAAAACTTCCAGTCTGCGGCACAGAGTGATGCGACACGTCCACAACCAATGCCACCAAAGACCCTAATCTATTCTCTTTCTTTTGCATCTGAGGTTTGTACACCCGAGCGCCGTCGGTCGTGGCAAGATAACGATACATACCGTTTTTGACTTCACATCATGTCCTAATCAGCTACCGAAAGGCAGGCGCATGCTGTGCAGTCGGCGCCTTGATCACAGAATCGTATTCGTGGCGCCCGCAACCTCGTCTACTCGCGAAAGGCTTGATAAAAATTGCATTCCTTCGCTGCGTTCGACAAGCTTCCTGATAATCATCTAGTCTTGCCACATGATGCAAGTACCCGTGTGAAGTGGCAAGCTCCTTGACGAGAGCGCCGTTCGTGTAGCGTGTCGCGTCGCGCAACGGTACTAGCGCCGCACAATATGGAACGTCGAGCTTCTGCCCGACTTCTTCAACACCGTAGCTCTGAAACAAATAACTATCACATACTACCGGTATGCTGCTCTGAGCATCCGTCGACACCCAAACGCTTAACCTGACGCTCTTCATGCTATTGCTATACTAAACACATCCAACTACACACATCCGATACGTAGGCACATGACGCTTCAATTACTATGTGCATCATTACACGACCATAACACACATTAGACACACTTGACATAGCAGCTTAATCACTTTGAGTACCACACAACCGTTTCAAACTTGTACTAGCGTTACTGTAGCGGCGAAATGTGCTCCACTCCGAATGCACAAGTGTGTCCTCCATTCCCAAATTTTCACGGTTCAGCTCAAGCCAGGCTTTTTCCCTTCGGGGCAGTCACGTCGGAGGGAATCCTCCCCTCGGGGAGCCGACGGGGTCGAAGATCTGACGCGGGCGCGCTGCACTCGCAGTCGCGGGTGTGGGCGTAGGGGACCGACGGGTCGCGTAAGCGGCCAAGCAGGGGTGTTTTATGGACTGGAGGCGTACCCCGCGCCACGTGATGCCGCTGCGGCGAGCGCACACCTAACGTCCGGGGGCCGCGTAAGCGGCTGCAGGGGGCCACCATCGCAGATGGGTGAGCTCCTCGGGGAGAGATACGGCGGGTTGGCGTTCTCCACGCCACGCACTCACTTCGGTGATCGCACTCCACGTCGGGGGGCCGCGCAAGCGGCTGAAGGGGGCCACCATCGCAGATGGGTGAGCTCCTCGGAGAGAGATACGGCGGGTTGGCGTTCTCCACGCCACGCAGTCACTTCGGTGATCGCACTCCACGTCGGGGGCCGCGCAAGCGGCTGAAGGGGCCACCATCGCAGATGGGTGAGCTCCTCGGAGAGAGATACGGCGGGTTGGCGTTCTCCACGCCACGCAGTCACTTCGGTGATCGCACTCCACGTCGGGGGCCGCGCAAGCGGCTGAAGGGGGCCACCATCGCAGATGGGTGAGCTCCTCGGAGAGTCTCTCTTATAGGGACCAGCCACGATTAGCCTCCGGGTCTCCCGGCGCTCACTTCTGGCTTAGCAAACTGCAGAGGTTAAGGCGCATAGTTAACACCGTGCAAATAGACCATCTGAACAACAACAACAACAACAACAAGTGTGTCCTCCAAGTCCACAACCAAGACAGGAACTGGTAGCGTGTCTGCTGGCACTTGTGGGATCGGCCAATCAGGCAGCAGCTTCTCCCGTGACGGATCCGTAAACGGCTTGACCGTCTCCTCTACTTTCTTGCTAACAAAGACGTAGACATCGCCCAAGAACGTGGCGCGCAACGTCTCTCGAATACGCGTCTTGAGACGCTCGTCCAGGACAAAGTGCCATAGAATCGATCCCGAAATGCTGCCCGCCAAGAGCGCAAACGAAACACGCGCAGCCAGCGACGACGTCCGAACGACTTTGTGCTCGAGACCGTCGGTCGAGTGCTTGGCAGCTGCTTGACGCGCAGCTCGTCGCTCGGCGCGAGGCACAACGTGGAGCGGCGTGTCCCGTCCAACGCGAGCAGCGACGCGCGATGACTGCGAGACCGACGAAAAGGACAACGACGAAGGCGTAGACACTGACCGCTTCACTGCGGCGGCGGATACCAAGCGACAGGGGGCGTCTCGCACTGCTGCAGCGGCCAACACGCGACGCTGAACGAGACTTCGCAACGTCATTACTGGCTGAGGAGCGCGTGATCGATGATGACGAGTGGTTTACATTTCGCCTGCGGTGCGAGCGATAGTTGGTGTTATTTGAACGAAATTGTACATATGGCACGTCCGTATTGTGCGTGAACTCAGGGATGTTAGTGACCGGCCGCTGTCAATTGACCTGGTCACTTATCTCAAGTGACCGAAAGTGACCCTAATATAAACAAAGCATTTAAATCCAATGCGATCAATGCGACCGACATACAAATGTTAAGATAAAACCGTTTTAATTTCTGACCCCAAAAACTCATTTTTATGCTTCTCATCAGAAAGAAATTCATCTATTTTCGTCAAGGTCTTAATCATTTTCCTGATTCCCCTATTTGTGCTTCTCCGTCTTCTTTCGCAGTTATTGCCACTGTTCTAAAAGCGCTCGCACATCTAACCTATTAATGACTCGCTCTAGAGGGTGGGTCTGAACACACTACACACTAGAGTCATTTGGTTCTCAAAATGGCACTTGCACCTTATGCGGGATTGTTTACAAGGGTGAAAGGCCAATGGCATGCTCGTGCACTTCGCCAGAGCCTGCGATACGATTTCTGTTGGAGTTAAAGGAGAGGCTCTGTCACGTCTTCCTACTACAAAAATTTTACCTAACAAGTCAGCTGCTTCAGTACAAAAAAGCTTGTTGCGATACATCATATCTTGAACCTTGGAATGCATAAGTTATGAAACAGTGGACACATCATTCACTTAGCGTCCAACAAAATGAACTCATTACTTATCATTTCTGTAACGGGGCGCCGACAACTATGCACCGATCTGCAAGTACGGAGCTAACTTTCACAGACAAGCGAAGGTCAGTGCCCTGCTATGTATAACACTATACAGAGGAAAGTAAGCGACTAAGTTTAAGACTGTAGTCGCGGTAAAAGTAAAACAGTTTAAAATATAAATTAAGTCGTATAACTCTTGTTCTTTGTTTGTCCTGACTTAATTATGCTAATATAACTTAACGTATGATGACGTCCACTCACCACCCATTGCGCGCGTCTAGCAGCGATTGGTGGGTTGATATCATCACGATATCAACCAATGAGTAGACCCTTCGGTCATCTCAACAATATCACTATGCTTTGTGATATTGTTAAACGAATACTCAACGTAACATGTTTTATTCCCATTTCTTCTTAATAAAAAAATCATGTAACGGGTTCCCCGTTACATCACCATTCCCCATTACTGAATTTCACCGTGTAATATCGATCCTTGGTGACATTCCGTTGGTCACCATCGGACAGGGGGCGCTTGTCTGGTCAGATCCATTCCTACCTGACCTTACCTCGCATAGTTAACAGGTCTATGCGGGTCGACTAAAAAAGACACAGCCTATTGTTTCGTCAGCCTCTGCAGCAGACGACTCTTCGTCTGATGCTCGTGCTCTGCCTGCAACGCCTGTTGCTGCAGACGCACGTGGTAACATACCTCGTGTACACGATGACTCCGAGTTAGGGGTCATCTCCTCTGGCAGGTCAGATGTGTCTGACTCGGGAAGGACTCCAAAGGCATTGCAACAACCTGCGGTGCCTCTTCCTTTAACTATGGAACTGCCGAACGATGTTTGGCAGTGATGTTGATTACGGTGATGTGTACAATTACTCATTACCACGTTCAACTCGTGCGTCTTCGCACGAGCCTTTAAATTTGGCGCGAGACGACGTCACACTGAAGCCCGTGGTATTGACGATGGTACCACGTTAAAGCGTGATGAGCCGTAAGCCGTGGATTTTTCCCGAACAGGCCATCTATAGCTCGTCTCACCAGACAAGCCAACACCATCATATTCTATTAATCGATGCGACCGAGCTTAATGGCTTGTCCTCCAGCGCGAGTACCTTTTACCTTAAATACGACTTAAGAATCGATGCTTTCCTTTATCATCGATCGTACAAAGAGAACAAAAGCGTGATAAGACCTCGCTTTTCGCAGCGTGGAATGCGTTCCTTCAAAGGTCAAGAATTTTGCATGTGAAGCGTGGCTCCAAAATATATGATGCAGTACGCATTTAATTTGAGAAACAAATACTAACCCTTGCAAAATATCGGCTGCATCGACTGCCTCGTGAGGCAAGCAGTTGTAGTGGAGTTGTAAACGCTCTTTTGAGGAGTCGATACCAAGTCTTCACTAACGCCCGGACGACCGCCTAATGGAGGGGGTACGCCGATTCCGTGTTCTTGATAGCCTTTAACACCTTGCGTACCCGTCGGTGGGACAAGTTGCACTCTTCCAGGTGGACTCGTGTCAACGGAAAACTTGACCGTGTTTGCGATGGGGTCGAGGTTTAATCTCGGTGTGGAAGTCTTCACACCACGATCGGGGTTGACGTGATCTCGTGGAAGGCGTCACGGGATCACTTGTATAATTGTAGGGAGCTCGATATGAGTCACCCTAGTCTGTAACAGACCGCCTTGTACAAATGTAGACCTTGATTTGCGAGCCTTCTGACCCTTTGAGCCGTCTCGCGATCTTGAGTCCTCAAACACGAAGGGCTTCCTACGTCCAGTCGCAGTCGGGGTGTTGTTTGATAGTTCTTGATCCCTGGCCAAACAGTCCAGGGATATCACTTGGTTAAAGTATGTGACATTTCCTTGACGTCGGGTGGCCAGTGATCCACCCGGAGGAGAAGTCGACACGTGTACTTTGAAGCAAATTGAACTATGTTTAAAGCTAACCAATCAAACCCAACAACCCTATCCCTATCCCCATGACTTGGAAATCGTTTGCAACATGTAGCTCTCTCTAGGTGGTAGCGAACTTGTACTTGCGTGGCACACACCTGATATACTTATCCGATCGCAGTCGCCCTACTGGTCGCCGATCGTGTGGCGTAACCCACACTAGCCTGATCGCGATCACATACCTGACTCCTGATCACGACCTCGGTCGCCTCCTGATCGCGATCGCCTTGCTGATCGCATTTTACATGGTGTGCTCCACACCAACCTGATCGCGATCACTGATCACGATCGCGCGTTATATTGTTTGCTCCACACCAACCTGATCGTGGTCACATACCTGATCGCCTTGCTGATCACGATTACACACCTGATCGCCGATTTTGACCTCGATCTCGATCGCCTCCTTGATTGCGATCGCCTTGCTAATCTCAGTTTCCTTCTTGATAGACTGATCGCCAACGTAATCTTCCCCCTGACAATAAACCCATCTCCAGGACTCGTACCCTTCGTCCGTCGTACTCTAACCCGATATCGCATGTCTCATTCTGTCCAGTCTGATATCCCGTTTTGTCTGACCGTCCAATGGGCGCGAACTCACGAGATGTGGGAGCGGCGCTGACAACCGTTACCTGACTCGGATATAACTGGAACGCGATCAGTTCCCCTATCGCGAATTTACGTTGTCGCTTTACCACACTGCACATCGATACAAGTTCTAGTTTTGGTTATAATGGTTCTTAACGCAATATGTATCAGCCCAATGCAAGTCATTCCAACCATTCACAACCTGTACTGGCTATTCCAAGTGCAAGTTGCTTTGATTTCATCGTTATAATAAAACGTGTCATTAGTCGTATATGCAGCTCGCTAGGAGCAGCACCACACATATATTTTCTAGCTACACCCACGGACACGTACACGCACACTTTCCGTCATTGAGCACCACCACGCGCGTGTTGCGGGCGTTCGTTCACGCGACCCCTCCCACTGCAACGGCTGCATCTCGTGATTTTATCTCTGCCACCCGCTACTGCATCGTCATCTGCGGTTGCTCTGGCTGCTGTGCCAACAACTCGAACTCCGACTGCGACTCGGAGTCCGAATAAGACTGCGAATTAAACTCCTCCAGCGTCGGGACGGACTCGGCGAGCATCTACGTCTTCTGCAGCGAAATGGCGACGGTCCACGTTGACGCATATGCTCCGGTGAATGCGAAAAAGCGATCCCACAAGTATACCAACATTTAAAGTAAAAGCAGAACTTACAACAACCACAGCAGCAGCAGCGATATCAACAATAGTAACTGAAACAACAATAACAAAAGCGAAAACAATAATATCAACAATATTGTCACCGACTGACTGTGTTAACGGCCGCTACCGATGATACGAAGGCGCATTTACGCACTTTTACCTCGTTTCTGCGCTCGCAACCGGTTTTTTGCAAGTGCAGCACGCCCACGGTAGAACCCTATCCGCGGCTGTCCAACAGGGCGGGTATTGTTCACGGCCGTTAAATGAGAAAATGAAAATGACTGAGGACGTGTGGTTCTGTGAGTGCCACATAACTTATGTATACTAGAAGGTGGGGCATTTTTTATTTTCTAACTATCTTAAGCATTTTTTTATTTTTCAATTAATTAGGGCTCTTATATTTTCGTGATTCAATAGGGCATTTTACATTCTCCCTTTTCTAAATGATGCAGCCCTTGTTCAATGTATTATTTATCGTGAAGTAATTTACAAAGATGTTTTCCTCTCTTATAAGAGGGCTTTGATCGCGCAAATTTTCTTTCTTCGGTATGTTTTGTTGTAGAATTGGATGTGCAAGGTCCATTCCATTAGCTTTGCTTTTCTATTGTGCATTGAGTTTGTAAAAGGGTGGCTTGGACGAGTTGTTGTTTTACCATTCAAATATATTGACACGCCGTACCAGCTATTAAAGTCAGGTTTGCGCGAAGAGTTGCGCGAATGTATGCGGATTTGCCAAAAAACGGCTTGCTTAATGGTTGGTATAAAGAGTGGAATAATGTGTCCAATCAGCGTGAGCAAACAGATTAAGCTGTCCTTCACGTTACCCTCGTCTGATTTTGGTTTGTAAGTGATGGTGTGGCTCGTGACGCTTGGCACATGCTTTGTGACTCGAGTAAGAACGAATTCGGGCCGACCAGTGCATATATAAAAAATAATAAGTAATGTTTGTTTTCGCTATCGTTGCCAGTATATGACAGCGACGATGCGCAAACGTTTTTCGAGACTCATAGTTTGACGTGAGACATTATGGTATATTGATAATAGAACGATCAAGTACCTCTAATTATGTTGCTACAAAAGTACAAAGAGATAGCGCCACATCTATTTAATTAAGGTGTTGGTTTATGTAACGATTACAACGTCGGTAATTATTCGGTGCATATAAATTTGTCAAAAAGGTGCCACGAAAATTGAGCAGCATCGTAGACTATAACTTAATCGTACGAATGAATGTACGTGTAATGCTACTGCTCCGAGCAATTAGTTCTTACATACCATATGGTGTGTGAAACTACATAATCTTGAAGTGTTCATTGGCACGAAATGATGCATTACACAAGCCTTGAACGCACTTAACGCATCGTTAAACGCATTTATCAAAATCCGTAAGAAATAAATAGGTGCAGTTGTAGCCTGTGAACCTATAGACGTGTCTTTATAATTGGCATATTAACTGACGGGAATCGTACGTCAACTCGAAGAAAGGGGCTGTGGTGTACGCAACACCAGAGGTGATGAAAACGTTCTTGCCATATATACGACAGCAATGTTTGACATCTTATAAAAAGCTACGCTCTCTAGAGAATAATGCGTACAAGAAAGTATTTAGAGAACGTGTCGTCTGTTAAGACAAGTGTATTGACTATATTAGACCACCCTTCCTTCTAAATAGGCCTGTACTTACTCATACTGATGATGCCATTGCATCAGTAGTAGTATTAGGAGGTAGCACTCTACACTCGGATCGGTACTATGTTATCGTGGCTGAATATATTGTCCGCCTGAAGCTGACTAAGGTAACTGTTCTTATATGACACCAATATCTTTATTTGGCCGCAATATATTCCATATTTATAGATCTCTCGGTTACTCGCTCGACCGAATTTTTCTGCGTGCGGAAATTAAGGCGCTGAAGCATTTTGCGCTTGTCCGTTTCTTTGCTTGTTGAGTCTGCAGTCGCTGACAGGATTTGTTATGCAATTTTAAACGGTAAGGAGGAATGTGTTTCGTATGGATAGGGTTAAGGAAGATTTCACTGCCATAGACAGTCGCATTTTGGGACTTTAATGTGTAACACAAATAACTCGGTAATCTTCTGTCTGTGCTGCTGTACCATTCAGAAATTTGATCAAGTGGTAATCTGAATAGCGAGGATACTCTTGTCAGAAAAGTAGCGGTATTATTAAATGCATAGAAATTAGCGATACTGTACTTCACATGCAGAGACATACAACGAGAAATATTATGCAGAGGTTGTATTTATAAAAAGCAACATACAAAATAATAAACATTTTTTGAATCATGTTAATGGAATTGTTAGATTTATTTACTATTTCTGTAGCTAAAGTAGCCTAAAACTGCGCATACACTACGCCCTTTCAAAAAAGGAGACGTTGTGATCTGAAAGTGTGCAAATGAAGTAGAAAGTATGGCAAATACAGGTGGCGTAGACCTTTTTCACTTCTCAAAGCTTCAATATTCATCTTAACGGCACTGCTCTTAACCATGCAATTTGCGTAGTGCTGTTCCGGTCCGCATATCATCTATGTTGCAGCATACCATCTCCGTAGCATTCTAAACGGCCTGTTGCTTAGTATCCAATCATATTATAGCACCGAATTCACTAGGCCTTCTTACCAGGTAGAACTTACATGTCGTTGACTGCTAACACACCCAACTACGCTAGAAGTGAGTCATGTTGTATGAATGTCAAGATGTTTTATAGTGATTTGTATTCCTTCATCAAGAAGTATTTATATATTTACTGCCTAAAATCTAGAGAATACGAATGATTCGATTACTTAATACATATCTCGAACGTTGGTGCACATGGGATGGTGCAATAATGGTCTAGGTACGCAACCGATTAGTAAGCACTCGATTCAAATAGTTTGCTTTAGCCACCGATGTTTTCAGACAGATAGTATTTAGTGCCACTTTGGTCACCAACGCTTTTTCTCTACTAAAGGGTGAAATACCGCGTTTTGATAAAATACGCATAATTTATCTTCGTTCTAGAAATTAGATAAGCATTGGCTCGTATTTTTGATCTGTACAAGACACGTGCGTTTTTCTGCCGTCTTTAAAAAATTGTAGGGATTTAAAATCTTGCTGCGCCATGCACTCTTCAGAATAATGTGCTATTGCATTTTTTAAATCGTACATGGGTTTAATTAGGACTAGATGCTCAGCGAGCTGAGAAAACTCGTAGAGTCGTTTTCTTGTAACATACAAAGTGGCTCGTCGAGCATTAAGCCTTCCTCAGGCAAAGGAGCTGTTATGGCTCTGCTACAATACCTTACATTTTCCATAAACAGTGCAGTAATTCAGACAAAAATTCATTTATTAGGTTGGATCCACGTACACGCAACATTCTGATATATCTCTCACGTGAAACATTCACCCAATATAATGCTTGTAGTTTGCTTCCGTGAAGCTGTCAACCCTGGCAAAGGTACCTCACATTGGGTGAAGCGTCTTTTCCCACATAAACTTTCGTTTTTGTGCTTAAGTATACGCACAAAGCAGCTGTTATGTCATTTTTATACATTAAACCTTGCCTGAGCAGGGTCGGCCTGCTGGCTACAATTTCCACATTGTACAAGCTATCCGTAATATAAGAAGCTGCCGCGTATGATTAAGCTGTAGAATCATATAGGAGCAAAACGACATCGGCGCGCGCAACGCATTGCAAAACAAAAGTGGACAATACGAGGACCTCATTTGTAAGAAATATCAGTACTAGTGCCATGCGTTTCGTCCTTTCACATAAAAGATGAAAAGACCGAAAAACAAATCGATTTAAAAGATGTTAATTTACGAGCGTTTAGCATTATAACGAGTAACTACAACAAAGACGTAGAATTACCTTTTTATACACAATATAGAAGAACTATTGTAGCCACACATATCGCGAGTCCGAAGTCAAGCCAACAGATCTAGCAATAAGATCGGTACAGTCTCACCCCTCATGTGTAATATGTGAAGCAAATACACTTAAGATCATTCCTTACGCCTGCTTTGCACACGTCTTTTGCATGTTACGAGTCATGTAATCAACAGAAATTACAACTATAGAGGTCTTTAGGTTGCGGTAATTCACTATATCACATCGAAGTCGCACGTGTGCTTCAGCAGCAGCTTCGACTGCCTCAATAGATGGATATCGGTCTTGTCGTACTAGCCTCGGCATATCTGATTACTGGTTTGATACTGTATACCTGGTTAGAATGACTGTGATATAAGAAGTTATTTTAGGATGTTACTAGGAACAATGTCTCCCCCGCGCTTTTCTGCTACGGCTACACTCCCTCGCAATGAGCCTTACTGTAAACGAATTTTCCTCATCATTGTCACCTGTAAGGACGTATGTTTGGTGGTCGATGATATAAAACATGCCATAGTATAGCATTTCACGAGCATACTATATTACGGGATATTTGCCTCCTACAGGGGCGCTAAAACAGAGTGGAATGAGGACTTAGCCAGGCTGCGTAGATTCTTTCAGAACCAACAAAGATACAAACAAATGGCGTTAAATGCATCGGAACAGGTCACTAGCACTGGAGTTCTCCTATTGTCTCCTGCTTATCACACTCACATCTCTTCTATGATCTCAGGTCTGCATCGTGGACGAGAAGAATCACGTGATTGGCAAAGCCGATCGCGCTGTTATGGTATGTTGTCCGATTTATTTTATCCGGCGCGGAGAAGTGAGCCTGACTACCTAACGATGGGACAGCGCGCGTTCAACCTTCCACACCGCGCATCATATATTGCGATCAAGAATCCAAGGTTTGTATTTACGTAGATTCGCTGCCCTGGATGAACGTCTCATCAGAGTGTGATCAGTGGTAAGTACTTTGTGCAGCGCCGCACGATGCTTAAGGATTATTGTCCTGGAATGTTGGATCCCATGACCGGTGGGGTTGTGCAATTCGGCGAGTCCATGGAGTTGAACGCACAGCGCGAAGCTGAAGAAGAGATGGGGGTCAAGCACACGTCGCTGCGCTACTTGACAACTTTTTATTATGGAGATGATTGCAGTCGTGTGTGGGGCGGCCTCTTCGACTGCATCTTTGACGGTCCGCTGGTGTTACAGGTTGAGGAAGTCGACGAGGTCCTCACAATGTCAGCAGACGAGATATTGGCACGGCAAGAAGAGTTTACGCCGGATGGCATCTTCGCTTTTAAAAAGTACCTGACAATTCTCGAGACGGCCGAAAATGCGGGTGACGGTCGATTCTAGAGACTTGCCAACGGCGCACAATGTTACGATGAGTTGTGCAGACTAGTTGTTGTCAGCAACCATTAAACTGGCCAACTAGTGCACGAGTGATTCGCCTGTAAACCTTCATATCGCTGGCTTCAGCACAATGAACACTTCGTTTTGCTATCACTCGCGAGTGGCAGCGACAGAAAATTACGTGTTCACGCCGGACCTTATCGTTTTTCTTACGCCTCAACGGTTCCCTCGACGTCGACAGTATAGACAAATTGGTGCGAATCGGTCAAGATTTTCGTTGTTTAGTTGACTCACGCAGCTTCAGCCTGGGCGTGTTTAGCACGCTCCTAAACTTCTTTGGTACAGTAGGGTCGTAAAATGCAGTGCTGCAAGTGCATCTACAACTATGATGCAATCGCATGCCATGCGTGCAAGCAAATGATGATACCGATGATCCATGTTACATTTCAAAAAGAAAACAGGCTTGTTAGCGAAGCAGCGATCCACGTAGCAACCATATAGACCATTAATCTCGCGCACGTCCTATACGTAGGTTAGTACAATCGACACAAGGACTTGATACACACTTACCCATTCCACCGGCTCCGGTATTGCTGAAACAGTAGCATTTATCACGTATTTGCCTGTTCTCCTCGGCGCTTTTTTCATCCAGTACATTCCCCAGACTTGAGGAACTCTTGCGTCTGTGGGGATACGATAACACAATTGAGCATTTACGCAGGAATAGCTACAATAAACGAAGCCGCAATTTACCAGCAACTGTCAACACGCGACGACAGACACCGAATGGTCGTAGCGACTAACGTATCTCGTTAAGTGTCTTCACCAACGAATATTTATGCACACTCTTCTTCAGTGCTTAATTTACTGGCGTAAGTCAAAATGATTTATTGGTGGAGCAGAGCAACAAATGTGCACTATCGATTGAAATAAAGTCAAGGCAATCAAAGAAAAGATCAGGCACATCATTTTTACGCTATTATAAAAGTACAGGGACCTTAAGTCCTAGAATCTAAGAACGTCGTTGTTGCTCATGCCGATGGGTACAAAGGATTTGGTCAGTAGGAAGAGATAGGAGGGAGTAAGCCTTAGCGAGTCGGTATCAACACTTTGCCGTATGTCATACATGTGCGATGTAACATCAAATTCTCAAAAACCTTTACGTCGAGCGAAACGCCAGATAAAACAATAGGTGCTGGCGTCGGAAGTTCACGACAAAGGATTATAATTTGTGTGTAGCGGTTTGCGCTTGCGTATCAGCTGACAAGATGTAAGCGCAAAACCCATCGAATCGAATCTGAACACACATGTACACCCTAAAGGGTTGTTGACGATCACTTACATACGAACCCCACATCAATCGGAAGTTCGGTCTGATCAAATTGTAACGGGCAGCGCTACCCGTTTACAATGCTATGTTAAACATTTACTACACTTCCGATTAAATAGGAATATTACGCCTTTTTTCAGACTTATATTGTTCAACAATTTCAAATTTTGATCAATCGAAGAGGCAACCTTACAAGTCCGCTTCACATTATGGTTTCGTTCAAAATCGCTAAAAAGATGCGTCGCCACAAGGATATGGCTGCGTTGCAATCCTCGGTCAAACCTTCTTTTACTTAATCCGCTTTTTCGTCATTTTACAGTGCTACTCTACAACTATCTAGTTTGTGTGTGGCATGTGCAAGCACTATGCCCTGACTGAGGTATAATGCTCGAGCGTGCCGACACAGTGTTCGCATAGTCATCAAAATGGACATATATGAGTATCACGGATATCCATCAGAACTGATTTAGGTAGCTATGAATCTGCGTAATGTATTATTTCTTCGTTTACTTTATATACGCCTTGCCCTGTCAGCGTATGTGCAATCGTATCTGGTAGTGATTGGGGGTGATACGTCTATGCTGGTTAATTGCACACCTAAGACATAACACAAGTTTAGCTTACTTGCGAAAGCACCAGCGCATCCTTACGGTTGTTCTAGGCGTTGATGACCTAAACAGAACAACCATCTTTGTTAGTCCAGAAAACGTTTTGTTTGACGCTATCTCTCATCGTAAAGTACAAGCGGGAGGTCACCGGCCATTTTAAAGAAGTTCACACAACAGACGAGTATAGACAACCGGATTGCGTCGCATAATTTGGGGTCATTCTTCGAATTTGTAGTTGATAAGGTGCATGATTGTGCCATTTAGGCGTGGTGACATGACCCCGTATCACGTTAAGTATACCATTTTTTGAATGTGTATAGTATGACGGGAGGGGATTTGCCCGTATACTCCACGAATTAAAAACTTCCTGCTTACATAATACTGAAAGAAAATATTTCCAAAACTCTTTCACATATACGAGCAGATCCTTTGGACGAGTACCGGACACGCAAGTCCATAGTAATAGTAGAGTTGGAGTATGAATTGTTTACTCGCAACATCGTAAGTTAGTAAGAGCTTTGTTGAATGTATTCATGTACAAATACCTACCTCTGTATATCTGCTCAAGTCTCAATGCGCGCGTCTGTTATGCATTCGAAGCATTGCCGGAAAATAGTTGCCTTATGTAAAGGGAAAAACAGAAGATAGTGAACGATGCACCTAATAGTATATGTAGGAATAATGTATGCCCAGAAAACACTCACATTGACCTTTATCAATTATCACGATCATGTAATGATGCGACTCAATTCCAACACGACTGACTATAATCGCCACAGTGGTAACAAGGATTAATTCAGTGACCCCGTTGGGTCACATCTCGTAAAAAAGAGCACTTGTAAATTTTTATCGACCCAATCCAACAAATTATGCATGATCACCAAGTCATTGCGTAACGTACCAAAAGCTACACAGAGAAGGGCTGCATAACCGTGTGCATTACCTAATAAGTCACCCAAGTAGCAGCAGCGGATCAGTCTTCGGCAGAATGTGCACTCAACATAAATCGTCTATCGCTGCAGGTTGACATGGCAACACACCATGTACAAAGGGAAAAATTGCTGCAAGATGAGCTCATCTTGTTAAAATGCCAATTATTGTTTCCGTCTTTAAAGGTACAGCAGACTTGTCATCTGCTGAAAAAAAGTTATGATTGTTCATTGATTTGACGTGGTATGATATGTTGAGGTCTTTTGATGCGTCATTTGGCTTGCGCGATCTTCAAACCAATAAGAACATGACGACAACGATTTATACAAAGAAGTAGTTGCCATCGTTCAAGTAGAGGTTTCGTTGGCATATTTCACCATTGTCGAAGTTGTACACCCACATTAAATTTTTGGTAGATGGTGTGGCCGGAAATCAATCGACGTCAAATTAGTATTCTGACTGGTCGAGGATAATAGATCAGTATTCCCGACACCAGGCTTATTCGCATCAGACGCGACGATGGTATTGATTATCATTAAATTACGACAGATTCCATTGAGACATTGGATGTTGAGCTTAAACTTACACGAAAGTGAGTTGCAAATATATTTTCCATGCAACTTACCGGCAACAGCAACGTGGATTTTGCTGGCAAAGCACTAGCTTGAAATCGGCGACTTGCGGCATGTAAGATACGAGAAATAAGATCGTAAAATTCAGGTTTCAAAATAGAGATTGGCCCAATATCCACAACAAAGGCAGAATTCATGCCACATAACACGTCACAATCTGATTGATATTTTATGAGCCACTCATCGAATTTATGTCCAACAAAGCATTGCTTTTGACAATGCACATAAAAAACAATTGGCACACATAAGCTGTAAGCAGAAGCGACCAGAGGTGCGAGAAGCATATAGATATTAAACTTTAGCTCCCCCAGGGTTTCGCAAAAACAATATTCGGAAGACTAACTTTGCACAGGCGAAGACGACAACTGCAAATTTTCTGAAAAACAGACAGTGCTACCCGGATGCAATCATTATGACATTTCGCTATCTGGAAGAGGAGGAAAAGAGAGATACGTGTTGGTTTATATACGAACTCTATGAGAAAGGAGCATTAAAAAAATCAACTTCTTGCTGAAAAGCTTTTCGACCCCATCCACGGATGCGATCTCGGCAGAAAATGTACGTCAGTGGATAAAATGGCACAGCTATATAGAATCTGATAATACTAGTGTTAGAGTGCATAAAAGTATGATAAATACAACAACAAATCCAATCCGGTCTTAGCCACTACTCGAGTTTAGCACGCCTTATGCCTAATGATAATGACAGGATAATTAAACGGTACATTTTGTGGTATATTATTCAGGTCGGATGATTTAGAAGAGCCGTTCTGGTAGCAGAGTCGTTCGAATTCATGTCATGTACGAATTTACAGTATCAACCTAATCCATGTCTCCATGTAGAAAAATCTGGAGTGATGTAGTTGGTAGCATACGGATGAGCAATACCAATGTTAAGTCGTGATGATGAGACCATATTGTTATACTGGAATTATGAAGGTTAAAGACAATCAGATATTGAGAACAAGTTTAGATTTACATCAAATACTGTGGACATTTGTGCCCTTATGTCACCACACTCCATACCGCTAGATGTCTTGGATGTTATCGCAGTCATTTGCAATATTTGACATAAAAAACATCTTATTGTACGTACGTGCACATTAGCCGTGATAAATAAAGGGGTAAAGCGAGTCGTCCATCGACATGCTAATAAGTGGGTGATCCCTATCACCCGACAATTAGGTGCTTGACTGTCAAATTTAGTCCCACGAGCCCATCGAACCCTCGTCGATACGAAAAAAAAGACTATTTTAAGATGAATGCAGACATCAACTAATAGTTCTTCGTTATCTGCTCGTTTTTACACTTTCTTATACTTCCTTTATTGTTTATTTGATTGGTACAGCTTGCAACTGGTTAAATAAAGCTAATATTACCAGCCAATAGAAAATGCGCTTCCAGAAATTATTATATTGGCGTAGATAAGAGTGTAAAATGGTTCATATAATTAAATAAAACAAATTTTAATAATTAGACCAAGGGAGGTTAGAGTCTATCCGCG